TTGAGAAGCGTCTTTGCGACGAGGTCCTTCTTGGTGGGAAAGAAGAGGAGGTTGCCACTTTGAAGGTGGACCTCGCGAGGCTAGAGGAGGTGAAGGCGGGGCTAGAGAAGAAGCTCGAGGAGACTGAGTGGGCTGTCGTGTTTGAGCACAAGAGAGGATTCCTCAAGGCAGCTCGCCAGGCTAGGCTTCTCGCACCGGGGTTCAACTTCTCCGCCATGCACGTGGAGAAGGAGGTCCGCTTTGGGAAGCTGGTGAAGGAGGATGACCTCGAGGACAGCTCCAGTGAAAATGCCTCCGCCTAGGCCGCCCTTGTAATAGCTTAGTTTATTTTTCTCTGCTTGATTTTTTCTTTGAATTCATGTGTTGAACTCTGCAAACGTTGTTATGTATATATTTGTTGGTTGTTTGCCTTTGCGCTTTTGATGAGTTTGTTTTGACTTTTGATTTCGCGTTTACGCCTTAGGCTTGATTTTTTTTGGTCTAACAATCAGGTAGTGGTCAAATAGCATCCAAGGACCCCCGTGCATGACCCGATCTTTGTCTGCCTCCAAGTCAAAATTCACCATGAAGTAACCATGTGAGACGTCCAGCAACTCAAGACCCCCTTGAACCTTCCACAATGCAGGTAGCCTGTCTCGCAAGGTTAAGAACCCCACATCCTTTCCTAGCAACTTAATCACTAGACATTGTTCCCACGGTTCACACAACTGCTTAAGAGTGGGTGCCGTGATGTTGAACTTGGGTAGTAGCCGATCTCCACCTTCAAACTCCAACGTCATGGCCCCTTCCTTAATAAGATCACGAACGGTCGGCCGCTTAACCGGGGCACCCAATACCTTTTCCTTGAATGTCATTGTCTGGCTCATCTTGCGATCCCCAACGCCCCCATCCGGCGGCTCCGATGGTGGTTGGCTCTCGATAGGCATTCCCCAAACCCTCTCCATTCTAAAAACCCTAAAATCTCTTAATTAATGACAACATTATTTTATAATTATGACTTATGGCACTACATTTTCATTTTGTTGAAAAATATTAAGAATGATTTAAAAAAAAATTTGACCTTCGTTTTATAAATGTTTCCATAGAAAAATATTTTCAAAAACATAAACAAACATATTTTCACCGTAATTTTTTATTTTCACTAAAAATGAAAAAAATGATTATAGTAAAAACAATAACAATGTTGATAGTGACAAGAATAATGATGATGGTGTCGATAATATTGATGGTGTCATTATTATTGCCACTAACATTATCACCACTAGTAAAGAGAAGATGAAATGATATAAGATTTGAAAAATGAAATTGTTTTAAAATTATGATTTATGTCACTACATTTTTATTTTGTTGAAAAATATTGAAAATGATTTTTTTTTAATTTTAACCTTTATTTTAAAAATATTTTTATAGAAAAAATATTTTCCCAAAACTTAGACAAACATATTTTTACCATAATTTTTCATTTTCACTTAAAATAAAAAAAAAAAAAAGATGGACATACCAAACAACTCAATTTCACATATTTTCTTTCAAAAAAAAATTACATTACTCTAATTTATATGCCCCTTTTCTCCTCACCTTTTGTTCATATTAAAACATGTTGCAAACATTATACTTATGATAATTAATTTCTTTATCAACTAACTTTACCACAAAAACCCTCCAATCACAAATCACACGTATTTATTTTTGCAACTTAAACCAAAATTCTGACTCCGTATACAAGCATCACACTCCTAAATCTCAATCCCATGTAGGATTGCAATTTCCTACCAATCCTGTATACTCCTATAGCCAAAACAAATTAAAAATTTAAAAAAAAATTGGCACTGGTCGGTCCCATGAATGAATTATATTATATTATACTGTATTATTTTTTTCCCCATATATATGCAATTTTATGATTTTATTTGACACCATGCAGCTTCTCATTCTTGATCTGATCATGACTGTCGAGAAAATAAGCCGTTGATTTCGGAATTTTTTATTTAATCAAATTATTATTATTATTATTATATTTTTGAGTTTTTTTTTTTCCAGCAAGATCACAACGATGGCATCAGTTGACTAGATAATTTTGGTTTGACTGGATTGGTTGAAGGACAAGGCTTCAGAGGCTCCAGCTGGAAAACGTAGCAGCAGGACAACAAGGTAAAATTGATGATTAGATTCCATTATTCCCTATGTTCCTCACCCTTGCAAAGTTAAAAATAGAATAAACAATAAAATTTTAAAAAAGCTTCCTGCTTCAGGGATTATCACATTATTACTTAAATAAATGCTCTTTGTTAAAGTAACCACAAAGGGTGTCACACCCTGCACTGCCCCACCCACCCTACTCCCTCACCCCTTTGGATCACGCCCCTACACGTGTCCCAAACCATGGTGGATGATGGAGGTTAGGTGCATGTAATTGAGGATTCTAAAAAGAAATGAAAGGGGTTAGTTGGCACTGAGTAAAATGAGTGTGTAACAGCAAAGAGAGAGAAGGATACATACATACATACATAGGATGTGTTGTGTTACTTAGAACAGTTGGCAAATGTGTCAGTAAAAAATAAAGAGAAATGAATAAAAATACTAAAGAAGTATGTTTGTTAATGAATACATAGGGGGGCAAGCTTGGTCTTCAAGAGAAGAACCTCCCCCAACTCTATCTCTGTCCACACTTTGTAACATAAACAAACTCACACGCCCTCAACAAAAGGAGAAACCTACTTTAATTATTCATTAATCAAATAGTATAATAACCCTGCTGCACCCTTGCTCTAAAAGTTTTTACACATTCAATCTATCATAAATAATATATGTTGTTGTTATTATAATTTTGATTGATAAAAAAATATATATAATATCTTAAAAATTGTATCAACAATAATTTTTAATTAGATAGTCACATAATTTTTTTTTCATACTTGTAGTATATAAACACTAAACTCATCTTATTTTAAGTATATAATGATTATATTGAAGTCAAAATTTAACACCATGTTTATTATTATGACAATAGTACATAATTACTTTAGCGTGTACTACCTCATTCATTCACTATTCCCACTCTGGTGTTCATTAAACTCATCTAATTATTACATAGAAACTAAACTCATGTTATTTATTATTGATGAAAATGATTATTAATTTAGTTTGAACTGAAGGTGAAGATTATTACAAGTGTGGGAAGAGAAAAGAGTGATTACTGATTAGGTTGTTGTGGTTCTGCAATAATTTACCAACAGGAGCAGTTGGCATTAGTTGGTGTGTCTTTTAAAATGATACATGTCACCTCATAGCTTGGGCAGGTACACAAAGCAAGGACTCTCTCTCACACATTCTCTCTCATCTTTCTCTCTCTAGCTTGGTAATAGTAGTAGTAGCTCCTGGTGTTGTTGTGTTGTGATCTATTAAAGTTAGATATTTATGCCACATTTTGATGTTTATGCTTAGTACCCAATTCATGAAATTGCATTTGATGCTCCCGTCAGAGACACCCCAGTAAAGGGGACTCTTCTCAATTCTGTCTCTTTCAGCAGAATTTGATGCCCATGGTCGTGCCTTGTTCTTGGATTCCCATTCAAGAATTTAATTGCAAGAACCCCTCATGTCCTATCTTTTAAATCAAAAAAATTGAAAATATACTCATTGTTGGATTGGAGCTTCTTAGAACAAGTGTGTTTTGTTTCCACTTCAAATCAAACCAAGCAAGGCAACAACAATTAGTGGCAGTGAATATCTTGCTTAACACCAATGTTTTGGTGTTGTAGTGAGGACAAAGGAGAAAAGGGAATCTGCTTTACTTGTAGTTTGATGAGCTGTTAGCTGATAATCTCACTGCTTTATGCTCTGAAGACTGAAAGGTTCACTTTCTTGTCTGAGGGGAAGCATTTTTTTCCCCTTTTACTGAGCATTGAAGCAGTAGACTTGATCTTAGGGTTTTTGATTTGAAGGGAACTGGTGACTGACTAGGAGATTATATTCCATTTACCTTTTCTTTTGGTTTTTCATTTATCTAAGCCTACACAATGAGGGTTTTCTTTAACTTTAACTTCCTCTCAGTCCTATAAAGCTGCCAAGTTATTTGTTCCTTGTTTAGTCCTGCAAGATATCTCTAGAGCCAACTTAGTCAAAATTCACTTTACCCTTTAATCATATGCAATTGTTTATTTCTAGATGCAGCCCTGATGTGATCAAACTGTTGAGTCTGATTGATTGGTGTGTTCTGTGTTCTGTGTGTGTATATATAAAGAGGTTGCTTTCTCAGTTGAAACTGTTTAGGGACTATTGAGTTGGTTGGTTAAGATGGGGGGTCAGGAGAATGCCATGGGGTTTCAACATGGAAATAAGAGCATTCTGACTTGTCCAACTTCAGGTCTCAGTGGTGCAAATATTAATGTTTCAGAAATGGCTATTAGTTCTGTTTCTATGGCCAAGCCTTCTTCAGATGTAGCTAACAACCCTTTTCTTGCTTCATCCGCTTGGGATCCACTTGTTTCCTTGAGCCAGGCTCAAACTTTTGGAGGCTCTTCAATGGTTTCTCATACTGAGTTTGCCAATGCCAACTCATCTTACCCTCTTGTTTTGGAAAACCAGGGAATAAGCAGCACTTCCCACCTTGTTCAATACATGTCTGAGTCAAATCTTGGGGGCATGGTCCCCAAGGTTCACTCTTATCAAAGTGGAGGCTTCTCCGAGATGGTTGGTGGTGCCTCTTTTGGCCAACATGGGTCTGGTGACATGGCTAACACAGGTTATCCAACACATTATAATCAGATCAAGGAGGCTATAACTAATGGTGAACAATCTCAGGTTGAGGACTCAATTCCTGAAGATGAAGCACCCGGATCTGCCCCTAGTGGGAATAGAAGAAAAAGAGGGCTTGATCATAATTCTACCTTCAGTCCAAATAAGGTTTGTTGAGTTGAATGTAATATAATACATGAAAGGAGAACACTTAAAAATAGTTGTTTTTGATGTTGTTTTTCGATCAAAATTAGAATTTCACTTAAAGGTTTGTTATAAATGTCAACATACATATCTGAAGTGAATACCAATTTTGATCGGGTAACAACATATAAAACATCAATGAACTTGGAATGTTTTGTTTTTGTCTATATCCAATCTCATTTAGGACTTGGAATGTTTCATTGGTGTTGTTTTATGTGGTTGAGAGCTAATGAATGAAATGCTTTATGATGTTGGATTAGAATGCTGAGAGTGATGCTGTGAGAGATTCTCCTGGGAAGACCTCTGATGGTCCAAAAGAACATGAAAAGAAACTAAAAGTTGAGCAGAATAATGGTGCAGATATGCGTGGTAAGCAATCAGTGAAGCAAGCTAAAGACAACAATTCTCAGAGTGGAGAAGCTCCGAAAGATAATTTCATTCACGTGAGAGCTAGGAGAGGTCAAGCTACAAATAGCCACAGCCTTGCAGAACGGGTATAGCTTCCCTATCTCACCACAATGTTATGAGAAAGTTAGAAACCCCTTTTTATTGCATCTATAGTTATTCAACTTTTTGGTTGCAGGTTAGAAGGGAAAAGATTAGTGAGCGAATGAGGTTGCTTCAAGAACTTGTTCCAGGATGCAACAAGGTGATATGAATATCATGATTGTGTTAAACTGTTTCTCATGAAACTATGATGATGTCTCTCTATGCACTATTTTTTCTTTTGTTAAACTATGATGATGTTTTTGGTTTTTATTAGATAACTGGCAAAGCTGTAATGCTGGATGAGATAATAAACTACGTGCAATCACTTCAGCAACAGGTTGAGGTATGAAATTAGTTCCATCTTTCAAGTTTTATGCATTCAATTTACCATTTATAACTGAATAATGCATGGTAAGTGATATTTATGATATAACAAAACAACACAACATTTTTGTCTACTCCATTATTATGGTGTTGTGACTTGTCAACTTATGAAAGAGATATTTTGCAGTTTCTGTCCATGAAACTTGCCACAGTGAACCCAGAACTGAACTTTGATGTAGACAGGATCCTATCCAAGGATGTAAGTGAAGATCTTAATCTTCTAGTATAGGTCCATTTATTATTTTTTAACACATTAAATTAATAAGGTTTCATTTCTCTTCAATTAGATTCTCCAATCACGCATAGGTCATGGAATTGGTGCATATGGTCCTGGAATTAATTCTTCTCACACATTCCCCAATGGAAGTTTCCATGGAACATTGGCTGGCATGCCTAGTACATCATCACAATTCCCTCCTTTGCCCCAGGTAAGAATTTATGCAGTAAACTAATTAGAAGTCATTGTTGATATGATTTTTAAGATAGTCATTAGAAAAGTCATCAAATTTACCATATATATCAATGTAAAAACTCTAATGAGTTTAATTTCTATTTACTGCCAGTATTTTAAAATTTAGGTCGTCAACCATTAAAAAATTATTGTTATATTATTCTTAAGATAATTGCTATTGCTATTATTCTTAAGATAGTTACCGTAAAAGTCATAAAATTTACCATATATGACAATGTAAAACTTTAATGAGTTTAATTTCTACAAATTGTCAGTATTTAAAAATTTATGCAGTCAACTAATCAAAAATCGGAAATCAACTCTGATATTATTCATAAGATAGTTATCATAAGAGTTATCAAATTTACCATATATGACAATGTAAAAACTCTTTACACAGTTAGTATATTTACTATTTACTCGAGTAGCACCAAGTTATGTGAAATACTGATACATTTACATGCAGAATGTTTTGGACCACGAGTTCCAAAGCTTCTATGGAATTGGATACGATTCTAATGCAGCACTTGACAACTTGGGACCCAATGGTAATAATGGACAGAGTCCTATTTCAACTTTGGTTGTTTTGTTTACACATTCACCAATATCAAGTGTCTGATTCCTTGTAATTTACTGTGACATTGAACAGGGCGGTTGAAAACAGAGTTATAGTGTGTGGATTATTATATAGCCATGATACTACCACAACAAAGACTTTGGAATTTTCTCGTTGACTGCACAATTTAACTGAAGTTGAAAATGGGAGGACAAAGAAAGAGAAAAAAATAATAATAAAGGTTTTAGTTGTATAGGGTCTTTAATACCTAACTGTTGGCTCTTCGAAATTTTAGCAGAAGATGAGTTGAGTTGTTAGATTTATGAATTGGGAAATGAGTTACACATATTATGTGTGGAAGCTAGATCATGTAGTGGTGATGGAGAGCAATATTTGAGGAGTAAAGTGTGCAACTATTGTTACTTTTATTGAATTATTATTATTATTATTATTATTATTATGTATAGAGTTTAAGGGCTCGGATTTTTGAAGCACATTGTTAATTTTCAATAGTGTTGTAGATTGGATAATGTGTGTACTTGTGCAAGGGTTCATGATTGTTCTTATATCTTTTCAAAAGAAAATGTAACGAATGAGGACATTCTTAGTGCATACAACTACAAGGGTGAAAATGTTGCAATTGCCCTTTTAAGTTTTCATTTTTGGTGTTTACTTTAACAAGGGAATTGGAACCTGATACTTGGCCAGTTACGTGTACTCGTATGTATCCAGTTTATTAAACTATTGGTAAAGTATTTTTTCACAACTTTTAATTTGTTAACTATTATAAAATATTTTATAACTTTGTATGTGGGCAGTATTATTTAATTGTCTATCATACTTTTTTCATTTATAAGACATGTGCTGTGATTCTTTTATACTAATTAAAATTTTTACTTGTTTTTATTATTTTATATGTTATATAATAGATTAAATTATATTTTTAATTCCCTTATTTATTTTTAAGATTTAATTTAGTTTCATTATTTTTAAAATATTTAATTTAATTTGATTTTTTTAAAAAAATATTCAATGTTATCTTTTTATTCCAGTTGACATCGACATTAATGTTAGTAAAATTAAGTCAAAGAATAATGTTGAACATTTTTTATAAAAAAATATTGATAATTAAATTAAATATTTTAAAAATAATGTGATTAAATTGAGTATTATAAATGATTTAATTTGCTCATTTAAATTTTAAATAATGTTCAATGTTACTTTTTTTTATCGGATTTTATTTTGATTAATGTTAATTTGGATAGAAGAATAATATTGATCATTTTTAAATTTTAAAAATATTAAAAGATTAAATTGAATTATTTAAAAATAGTCAAATTAAATTAACTTATAAAAATAAATAGATGGAGAAAAATTCAAGTATAAACCAAATTTAACATATTAAGGTTTTTTTTTTTGTCAATGCATTTGTGCGTGTAATAAGTCATATTTTAAAATGCGTGTTTGTTTTAGGTTTTTTTCAGCGGTAGGGGTTGATCCACGCTTAAGCAAGGTCAGGGGTTCGAATCCTGCCTTGTGTATGCAGCCGCGTTAAATCTTGGGGCCAGCTATCCCACCCTTTGAGGTGCCTCCAACATAGCGAGGAGATTAGTCACTGCTGTCGGCGGTGGATACTCCAGGAACGAACCTAAAAAAAAGTTGATTTGGTCATTGGATCAATTAAAATGAATTATTGATCGAATTGAAATAATTTATAATATAAGTTATTTGAATTAAGCCTTACCACATAACTTTACATTAAATATTTCAAAAAATTGATTCAACTTTTGGATTAATATCGATTTAAGGATTTAATCAAATAAATAGATTATTCATATGTATAATTTTAAAACATATATACTATGTACATGAAATAAAAATAAATATCGATTATTGGTTAGGTTCACTGACCCCATTTTATTAACATTGGACAAGTCACTTTCTTGTCTAACTTTTGTCATATTTGCTAAAAATACTAATATTTTTCTTAACATATATATTTAAAATAATTTAAAGTAATGAAAAGTTGAGATAATATGTAATGTATATATCCTAGATTTAAACTTTGTTACCATCGATGTAATTCTTACGAATAAAAAGAATTAAGTATAAATCTAAACTTATATAACAAAATTGTAATAACTGAGTACTCTTATGGGTTTAATTTTCGTATTAAACCCAAACACTACACATAACATTCATCTGCCTACACTCAACACCATCAAATCAATTTTTCATCTACTTGTTCATTACTGTAGACAGTATACAAGTCACTAAAGATGGCTACAGTGCTACATGAGACAGCCAAAAATATCATAAACCAAGATAATAACTTGTCTTTCTTTGTTGCAACCCCACGAGTATCCCTGCCAAAGGGTAACCAAAACAAAATTACATATCATAATATGTATGAGCACTGTGGTTAAGATCAAGGAGACATCACATTATCAATTTCATAGCATACTTATTCAGTAAATAGTTATACTAACGGTTATTAGAAATTTATCCAAATAGATGTATTTTGCAACTGTAAAGTTACCTAAGAGCAATAGCAGCTGGAAAAATGTATCCAGCAGAAACAGCAGCTGTGGCACCAATGAATTGGAAGGCATCCCAGATGCTGGGAACAAAAATGGCTCCAACAAAAATGAAAGCCATGAGAAGTGTGGTGACCAAGTAGAATCTCCTAGTGTCAAAGGCAAGAGGAATGGCATGTGGAAACAAAAGAACATCTAGGTTGAGGCGAAGGGAGTAAAACACAATAGGGAACACAAGGATAAGGTGAATGCCATAGCTCACTCTAACTATATCAGTAAGAAATGATCCATAAGGGACTCCAAGATCTCCATCAAAGTTGGCTAGTACATCATCCAGTGTCTTGTCTCCAAATAAGAAGAAACCAAAAAGGCTGGTTGCTACGTACACAGATGAGCATAGTATGAGTGATGTCCTCACTATTGCCTTCATTTGGGAAGGATCTTTGAGTTCATTCTCTATAGGGTGAACTGCATTGGAATTAAAACAGGAAAGGGTGTAAGATTTGTGTAGAAGGCTAACTGAATCATGTCATACAATGTAGGTGTTAATGCAGTAAAACGTTTCCTTTATTTTTTACTGCTATAATTATTTATGGTTGCTTGTATTAGTGGGTAAAGTTCTGCAGTAATTATGTTTACTTAGTGCAGTAGATAATATCTTGTTAGGTTTCTGATTTTAGGCAAATCTACACACTTAATGATGATGGGAACATGTGTTTTACTGACAGCATTTATGGGCTCTATGTATGGCTGTCATTTTTCATGTATTTGCCTTATATATGAATGAAAAACAAACAAAATAGTATGGTTGTTCAGCAAATACGAAATTGCTCTGTTCCCTAACCTTTCCTCTTCTCTGTTTCATGGTTTGTATGGTTTTTTATGTTTTATGCTTCCGCTGCCCATTGCTTGTCTTAACAGTGGTATCGAGAGCATTGTTCTTATAGGCTGTGGGTCTGAAAAAAATTGAGAGGAGAGATTAAACACTTGTGAGTGAGTGATAAAATGGCTTCGGGGAATAATGGTGTATTTGCTGTTCCTCAATTTTCTGGGGAAAACTATCACATATGGATTGTCAAAATGAGATCATGTTTGAAGTCTTTTGGCTTATGGGAGTATGTAGATCAAGATAAGGAAGTTCCACCATTGAGGGCTAATCCTACAATAGCTCAAATGAAGCAACATGAGGAGGAGACTTTGAAGAAGGAAAAAGCTGTCTCATGTTTACATTCAGCTTTGACAGATGATGTTTTTACAAGCATTATGCATTTGGAAACAGCAAAACAAATATGGGACGAGTTGAACGAAAGGTATGCCGGTGATGAACGGGTGAGATCCATCAAACTATTTACTCTTAAAAGAGAGTTTGAAATGCTGAAAATGAAGGAAAGTGAATCAGTCAAGGAGTACACTTCAAAGCTGTCTCACTTGGTGAACCAAATGAGATTGTATGGAGAGGTAGTCCATGACCACAAGGTAGTCGAAAAAATGTTGATTAGTCTACCCGTAAAATTTGAAGCCAAAGTTGCTG